GTGGTGGGCTGACCTGCACTCTTAGGGAGTGAACTTCATCTCTCACACTGGAATGAGGGAGACAGAATATATTAGCAAATCTTGGTGTGTGTCTGTCCTGATTTGTCTGGGGCTACTTTAAGGACTGAAGGGAGGTATTTCTGTGGTAGGCATGCTGGAGAGTTCCTAAGGGGTGGGAAAGTTGTGATGAACCATTTGAAAAGGCTGTGATCACCCTCAGTTGTCTGGAACCAAATAGTATGAATGGAACATCCAATTAACTCTTACCTGCTGAAGGAGAACCAAGAGTGAGGATTCCTTACAGAAATTATTGCTTTTTAAATTACTGTATAAAAAAAACCAAACAAAAGTACTGTGGATATAGGGGAACAGAACAGTACACTTTTGCTCAAGGCAAAGACACATGCTATGAAGAGAGACCTACATTTTCACCTGCTTCTTTAATGGTCTATAGCAGGGGTGTCAAACTGGTGGCCCCCAAGGTAATTTTTTTGTGGCCCATGATGCTCTGAAATAAAATGTAATGAGGGCATTGTGTGTACGGCATACCGTGCACACAATTCCCTCATTACATTTTATTTCAGGCATACCGTACACACAGTTCCCTCATTACATTTTATTTCAGAGCATCGTGGGCCACAAAAAATTACCCTGGGGCCACATGTGGCCTGTAGGCCGCCAGTTTGACACCCCTGGTCAACAGCATTTTTAGGTTGTTTTTAGGTTGAAAGAGGGCCTCAACCCAAAGCTAAGTTGCAAAGACTGGGAGAAGTGGCTTTTAAAAAAATATGTGTCTGTGGTTTTGTTTTTAAAAAGTAAAAGATTATTATTGCTTTTTTTCTTGTTTCCCCAGAATGCAACTAATATTTCACTATTGAAATATTAGTTGGTCAGTCTGAATAGAATTCTCTGGTCACGCACATCAAGGAGGACTGTTCTTACAAAAACAGTTGGGGGAAGTCACTAAGATGCACTAGTAAAGGCTCCAACAATTAAAAAAATGAATCTATACCCAGGAAAGTGTCAGGGTTAACCACATTATAATATTTAATGTCTAGATTTTAACCAAGAAATAATAGAAACTGGAAAGATGGCCCATTCAAAAAAATCAAAATGAAATTCCAGAAATCATTTTTATGGCAGCCCAGGTAATGGTCAGCATAGAAGGTATTAAAGACAGTACTAAGCTTAAGAAACTAAAGAAAAACATGGAAAACAAAAGAAAATCAGGAAAATGACACACGGACAAATGAGAAAAATAAAGAGGAACCAAATTAAAAGGAACCAATTAAAAGAACCAAACAATGGCTGGAATTTAAAATTTCAGCAACTGAAATGAAATATTCCTTGGAAGTATTCAGTGACAAATTTGAGCTTCCAGAAGGAAGAATTGGTGAATTAGAAGATAAATTTATTCTCCAGTTTGAGAAGCAGAAAGAACAAAGACTCAAAAACAGAGCTTGAGGGAATTGTATACTACTAGGCTGATAAGTGTGCATTATTAGAATCTCAAAGAAGAGAGAAAGAACAGAAAGAATGTTTGAATAAAAAATGATAGCAAACTTACAAAAATTGTAAGAAGAACATGAAGCTATATGTCCAAGGAGCTTAATGAACTCCATTTAAGGTAATGCTAGAGACTCACATCATGACACAATGTAAACAAATTCTTGAAAACCAAAGATAAAGAAAATACTGAAATCAGCAAGAGAAAAATGAATTGTCACCAAAAAAGCATCCATTTTTCCTTAGAAGCCTTTGAAGCCTGAAAGCAGTGGGATGGTAAAGTTCTGAAGGAAAGAAATGGCAGCTAAGACAACTTCTTTCAAGAATGAGGACAAAATTAAGACATTTCCAGAGAAGTGAAAACGGAGTGACTGTGGGAAGAGGTGATAGGAATGGGCCTTTCACATGTTATTGAATTTGTTTTTTAATGTATTTTAATTGGAATGTACTTCACATATCATGTAATTTAATCATGCAATTTTATTAAGATTCATGCAGTCATCACCACAATCAGTTCCAGAACATTTTTTCTTGTCCTCATTGTCATTCGTTTCTCCATTTCTGTCCATCCTCCCCTGCCATGCGCCTAGGCAGTTTAGTTATTGTCTCTATGGATTTACCCATCCTGGGCTTCCTAATCAGAAAATCATGAAATACAAATAGGAAGTGAAAACACACACACACACACACACACACACACACACAAATACTTAGAAACGATGACTAGACAAAGCAGGAAAATCTCATTCAAAAAGCATAAAATATTAAAAACTGAAACAACTTCTGAATGAATCAAAAGGGAAATCAAACAAAAAGGTATTGCATTTTCACCTTACTACATCTGTCATAATCGACTTTAGCATGCACTTTGTCTCCCTTGATTATCGTCAGAGAGGTTTCACCAGAGGCTTAATCTGTGTGAGGACCCCGTGATGGATTTTGGGCTTCCACTGTCATCCATAGTCTTCTGCAAACTGGGTGTTCACATTTCAGCTCTGGTACCATTCTCTTGTGGATTTGGAGTTTGTAAATTACAGTTCTTGAATCACACAGACTGGCGTGCTTCCTCCATGTGGACCTATTTGACATCTCACTTAGATGACTGCTTGGTTTTTTGTTTTGTTTTTTGATGACTGCTTGTTTTAAGACAAGCTTTTAAGAGCTCTGATTCTATTAATTCTGACAGCTAGCTACCATATGGTTTCTTCGCCATATTTGGCTTAGTACCCATATCTTCAGTGATTTCTTGAAGTTAAGTTGGTATCAATTTAAACTAGATTATTAAATGAAGTTATCAAGCTACCCAAAAGGAAATATCTAAAAGTATACATGAAAAGAACAGGAAATCCAAATCATTATTAGGACAACAACAAAAACAAATGCAAGGAGCAGTGAAGGGAATAAGGAATACAAAATTAATAAGCTATGGAAAACACAAAAATGGCAGAAACTATTTTTTATTAGTCATGACTTTAAGTGTAAATGTATTAATCTTTATAATTGAAAGAAAGAAAATACAAAATGGAAATGTATATGAATTAAGAAGATATATAGGACTAGGTAAGTGAAACTCAGTACAGAAAAGGAGAGTTGAAGCACGGCATTCTGTGTGATTCAAGAACTGTAATTTACTCCAAATCCACAAGAGGAATGGTATCAGCTTAACTGTATACAGAAAGAGAGGTTTGGTAGATGAAGGAGTATGATCTTTATTTTTACTGATGTGTAACTTAAATTCATAGACCAAGAGTGATGTGAATAAGATTAAAAGTAAGTTAAAAAACAAGATTCATAGGGTTGAATGTGAGAATGGACTTAGTAAATGCTTATTGATCATTTGTTTTTCCTTCACTTGATTTTCTCAGAATAAAGTAGAATTAAATTATAGTCTTGATTTAGGATTGTTGGTTTGCAGGAATGATAGGATTGATAGATGGCATTTGGGAGTTAAAAGTGTTAGTGAGAAATACCATATCCTTATAACCTATGTGGAGAGGAGTACTTGCATCAGGAAAAAACTGATAGGCTCAGTGAAGTGGAGAGGTGGTGCTCTGGTTGCTTTGAGGAGAGGAGCTTGTGACCAGGGATAGATGTTTTTGGTTACAGAGTTGGAACAAGTATGAGTAAAACAAGGTTATAAAGAGAGGATTGAAATATTGAAATGGAAAGAATGAAATTGTATTTGTTTAGGCAAAGGAGAATTGAGGTATGCACATTCTATGGAGTGTGCTTTGAAATTTCCCTGTATATAATGACGTTTCTGTGGGTGAGGTAGAGGGATCTCGGAGATTAAGTTTTCATTAACTGTTGATAGTGAGAATGGAGCCAGTTCACTAAGAAAGGTTAAAGACCAGGATAGCGGAATGGTCTCACTCAAAGAGAGAAAGAGTGAGTGTGTATCTTCAAATGGAAACAGGAATGATACATTGTCTGAAAGCAGCGGCAGGGGAAGACTGACCTTTGGAGAAAGAACCGCAATTCATGTGGTTGGGTACTCTAGAACAACCTTATTGTAGGGAGAGAACCAGACTTCATACGAATAGCTTTGGCTTTTTTTTTTTTTTAAATGAGAATAAAGATTTCCGAGAACCCAGTGGAACTGATTGGAAAGGTGTAAAGAAATAGGATAACTGTTTAGAGGTTGCAAATGTAATGATAAGGCTGGGTCAACTGATACGTGACTGAGGGCCAGTATTTTCGGCAGGATTTACGGATTATATGTGGATATGAACAGCTATGTTGAAATAAATTGACTTTAGTATAGCCAACCTCACACTACGTTGGTGTTAGGTGAAGTCTGGTGAATTTTTTCTTATATCAATCTCATTGAGGTATAATTTATATACAGTAACACACATACACTTAAACTATGTAGTGTAATGAGTCTTGAGAAGAATTTGTACACCCCAATAAATGCAGAACATTTCCATTACCCTAGAAAATTCTCTCCTGCCTTTTCCATTCAATCCTCCTACCCAACCAGTTGATCTGATTTCTGGAACTATTTTTATTATATAGTAAACTTTGTCATTCTAACCATTTTAAAATATATAATTCAGTGGCCTTAATGCATTTACTATGTTGTGTGACCATGAGTTATGTGCAGGTTTTGACTTGGGTTGCTGAGACAGTAGTTAATGCAGCTTATGGGGTCCAATGGTATATGGTTTATTTTGAGTGAGAGAAAAGCATAACTTAAATATTCATAAAATAACCGAAATGTGTTTAAAAGTGATAAAAAGAAATATAGCCTGATAATTTTAAGATAGTAAACCTGAAAATGAAGTTACAAAAAAGAATAATGAAGTTATTCTAACCAGTGTATTAACATGTGTCCACCAGATGTCACTGTGACTCCTGATTTAGTTACAAGAATAATTTCTGGAGTTTTGTGTTTGCTGATTCAGTGTTATTACACAGGCCTTTTTCCTGCTTATTTTCCTTTTCTCTGCAGTGATTAAAATGTTGTGTTTTGTTTTCCCCATCAATTTTAGGTACAGTTATTTATCACCTCTGCAAATAAAGCAAATACCTGTCCCTAAAATGGCGGCTCCAAACTGTCTTGTGATTACATGGGTGACCAATAGACAGAAACACCTACGTTTTGTAAAAGAAGAACTTTACCCCTGTTGGTCTGTGGAGGTAGTTGCAGAATGGCACTGGGTAAAAGTAAGTTCAGAAGTTATTTGTCAGTTATAATCTGATATGTACACCACATAAAAGTACCACCTACTTTTTAAAGTTCACCTTACTGCCGTACTCCTTCAACACGGTCTAATTTAAGCTTATTTTTTAGTATCTTCTCCTCGAGGCTTTAGCTTCTTTCTCTGGCTCTTCTTTAGTAATTGTGCTGGCCGTGGAAAGTAACTCAGAGACACCAGAATGAAACACAGTAAAAACTGATGGCTGTTTAAAAACACCAACTGAACAAACGTTTAGGTCACCGGAACATCACTGATTTAGGCTCCGAGGACTGCAGTGACACAGAGCTCAAAGTGGGGGTTTCTGATCTCACGGTTCTGATGAGAAGTCCAAACCACAGAGGGCATCTGTGGTACTGACTGCTCCCAGGCTCTTAGGAGTATTTGCTCCTGGCAAGCTTTGGCCTTCTTTGACCCGAAGATACATCTTGATATGGGAGTCTTCTTCCTGGTTGCATCTTTGTGTGCGCTATGAATTTATGAGATAGCACTCAGAAAGAATTAAGACCTGTCCTGCTTGGTATCGCCTTGTTGACTTAACTGATACATCTTCAGAGAAAGGCTGTTTACAAACATGGCTGTATTCACATAGCTTAGAACTTTAACATAGCTTTTTGGGGAATGAATTTTAATCCATAACAATCATTAGGCATAGGAAATCTTATGCTGTGTCTTCTATTTTACGTGTACACACACAAACAAATTTTGGTCACTTTTTGTAATTTTCTCTACTTTGGGGGGGTGTTATAGAGGATGAGAGAGAATAACAAATAACAGATGCTGGAAGGAAGAACCATCTCTATTCTAAGTCTTAATTTAGGTTTTCAGTGCTTTCCATGCTACAATGCACATTTTGAATCTCTAGGGTTGCTTGAATGATCTTATTATCTCGGCATAATGTAAGAATGCCAAGAAATACATAGAAGTAAGGCATGAATACAGAGTTTAGTGGACATCTTTTTAGAGATGCATTATCTACAAAGATGACTTCCACAAAAGCCCTCCTCAATTTAAAAAAGACAAACCAAGTTACTAACAAATGTTTAATACTTACATAGATGGTATGGTCATTTTTGACACAGTACAGTTGTATTTTCACATGCTTTGCAGTGTATTGGGATATCTTGTGAAAACAGTGTCCAGTGGTTCCTTGTACCTATTTTATGAGACTTAACAAAGATTCTCAGTTGTAACTGCTTTCATGGTGTATCTATGGTCTTAGCTTTGGTTGATTTGGCATAGGACCACAATAGGACTTTAATAATACCTCCTTCTAACCTGCTCAATATGACAACCTTCTTGTAGTCCAGAGTTTATGAAAGCAAAACTATTAGAATGTTGATACATAAAAACAGCAATTAATTTTTGTAGTAACTGGTTCTAAGAAATGATTTTTAAATGTCACTGATAGTTTAAGTAATTGTATATTCTGTAACTTCATCTACCATAAAGGATAGTCAAAGAATAAGAATTTACTGTTTCTGTAGCACTATGTGTAAAAGAATGTTTGTCTGCTGTGCTCTCAGGGATATAGAAGACCCTACTGACTACTTAACAGATCTTTCAGGTCCTTGCATGGTGGGTCCAGAGCTTCCTCCATAGGAACCCACTGCTGTCAAATCCAGCCTGACTCTTGGGGACCGTGTATAAACTTTTAACTGAACAGTTTCATGTTTCGCCTGTGGAGTGACTGGGGGCTTTGAATGATCAACCTTATGGTCAGCGGCCCGACACCTATCCCACGGTGACGCTTAAATGTAATAAATATGAATATTCTGATAATGGAAGTATTAAACTCTCATGATAAATTAATGCATTTCAGTTTTTATTATGGGACAGAGTGGAGACCCAAAGCCCATCTGTAGACAATTGGACAGCCCCTCACAGAAGGGTCACAATGAAAGGGACGAGCCAGCCAGGGTGCAGTATAGCACCGACAAAACACACAACTTTCCTCTGGTTCTTTAATGCTTCCTCCACCCCTACTATCATGACCCCAGTTTTACCTTACAAATCTGGCTAGACCAGAGCATGTACACTGGTATAGATAAGAGCTCTAGACACACAGAATCCAGGACAGATAAACCCCTCTGGACCAATAATGAGAGTAGCGATACCATGAAGGTAGGGGGAAGGTGGGGGTAGAAGCGGGACAAAGGGGGGAACCGATTGCAATGATTGGTATACACCCCTACTCCCCCCTGCCAGGGGATTAACAACAGAAACATAGGTAAGGGGAGACAGCGGACGATGTAAAATATGAAAATAAAAATAATGTATAAATTATCATAGGTTCACGAGGGCAGAAGGGGAGGGGAGGGAGGGGAAAAAAAGGAGCTGATGCCAAGGGCTCAAGTAGGAAGAAAATGTTTTGGAAATGTTGATGGCAATATATGTACAAATGTGCTTGATACAATGAATGTATGGATTGTTAAAAGAGCCATAAAAACACCCAATAAAATGATTTATTAAAATAAAAAAACCTCCAAAATCTCTTATAAATTATGTGTTCAATTGAGTATGTTTCTGTGAGTCCTGTGAGTTTAATTACTATAGGGTGAAATATTAAAATTGAATTTCTAAATTTCAAAGGTCAAAGGCTAGTTTCCGGACCAGATATTGTATAACTCACCAACCACCCAGTTTCTTTCCTTATTAATTTTAGCTCTGCCACCATCTAATGACACTACTTTTGTAACTAAAGGTCATTGCTGTTTTTGATCTGTTTAGGCACAGTACCAGCAAACAGCAATAGTACCTTGATAAATGAACAAGTAGATTATTGATGAAATAGTTTTCCGAATAACTTTTAGTAAAAAATAGAAACTATGTGAATGTAAGATGCTGTCATAGCTATATTTAAAAATTATTTACTCCCTTAGAGCTTCTCTGTCTAGTATGGTACCCATGAGCTGCATGCATATACATTTTCAATATTTGAATGTGACTGATCCAAATTGAGATGTGCTGTAAATGTAAATTATACATTGAGTTTCAAAGAACTAGTATTAAAAATGTAATATATCAATAACTTAAAATTGATTATATATAGAAATGTTTTATATATTAGGTTTAATTAAACATACAATTAAAATTAATTTTACCATTAACAAAACCCAAACTTTTATAGTGACATTCTTGTTAAGTGGTTATTAGGTACCGTCAGGTTGGTTCGAACTCTAAGCAGGCTCTGTCCAACAGAACAAAACTGTTCGGTCCTGTGTCAGCCTCTTTTTCACTGCCCCTCCACTCTGGCAAGCATGTTTTCTAGGGACGAGTCTCCTGATTACATGTTCAAATAATTGAAAATTACACACATGGCTCACATTTATGGCTTTCATTACATTTGAATAGCCCTGCCCTACAGTATATGTATGCATATATACATATGTATTCTAGGATATTTAGTAGATACTGTATAGTAGATACTTCCCCATATATTTACAATTTTCCCCCCTGATTCTTTTATATTAGATCACCAATTCAGGAGAGTTTGTGTTTCCATTAGATTCTCAACACAAAAAACCTTATGAAGGTCTTATACTGGGGAGAGTTCAAGAAAATACAGCTTTATCATTAAGGTAAGAAAAGTGATTTTTCAAATTGGTATGAAAGTACTTCGAGTTGATAAAAATTATGAACAGAGTGACCATTGATTATTATTATTTTATATATATGCTTTGTATTTTTTTCCAAAACCACTTATTAGGAACTAATACAGGTATCATTCCATAGTTCAGTCACATGGAGCAGTATTGTACAATTGTTACCACAATCAGTTTCGAAACATTCTTTTCCTTCCTGAACTCCTTGATATCATTTCCTCTTTACCCACTATGTCCCCCAGAAACCCTTATTCTACTTGCTATCTGTATAGGTTCACCAATCCTGGGTTTTATCTACTGAAAAATGGAAAAACATATGACCAAAATTCAAGAGGGTTATCCCCCCAATGACAAAATACATCCGAGATAAACCCAATATGAAAAAAGGGCAAAAATAAAAAGACAGAAAATGTTGAAAGCCAGATCAGGCCCAACATACATCAGAGAATGGATCAACTGGCAAGGTTTTCACTGTTAAAGTCATGTTTATCATTTTGTTCTCCTGTAGTCATCTCTCCAATTTTTCTCATCCCTCTATTATGAATTTTCTCATCCCTCTATTATGAATAAAAGAAAATCGCCAGAGGCTTATTTCTTGTGTAGAGCTCACAAATGTATCTTGGGCTTTCACTGTCATCCACAACCTTCTACAAACCAGACTCTCACAATTTAGGCTCTGGTACTATTCCCTCCTTCAACTTTGAACTGTATGGTTTACAGTCGGTTGCTGACTGATGTCGGCATGCTTCTTCCTTGTGGACGTAGTTGACATCTCACTTAGATGGGTGCTTGTTTGGAAACAAACTAAGACCCCAGACACTATTTATTGCTAGCTGGGCACCATCTAAGTTCTTCACCACAGTTTAAGGTTTCCCAGAACATAGGGGATAAAGGGCATAGCACATGCAAGCTTGTATCATCTTTGTGTGTGTGTGGTCATGACATACTATGTACTTAATTTGTCACTAAAACAAAACTGTAGGAATAATATGTCAGTATTGTACATAAGTTGTGAATTTCCTTCATTGTTTTTATTCTTAATTTAAATTCTAGGATATTTTAAAGGGGGATAATCAAAGCAACTGTGGCTTCTATGTCAAAAATATCTTTAAAATATAATTTACTTTCTTATTTTGTTTTACTTAGGAATACTGATGAAAAAGTGCTCCCTATTCCAGATCATAAATTAATTGTCAGTGTACCTTGTACTCTTCACTCACATAAGCCACCTCTTGCTGGTATGTTTCCTCTGTAAAGTAGAATGATTATTGTGTGATTTTTGTCAAAAAGAGATTTAACTTAGTATTTGAATTGCCTAGAGATTACTTGGAAATTAAATCAGGTATATGTTGTTTTTATTAATGTTCTATAGTTCCATAGCAGACTTATGAAATCCCATAAAGATTTAGTCTTAGAAAACCATGGGTCAGTTCTGCTCTGTCCTGTAGGGTCACCATGCGTCAGAACATACTTGATGGTAGTGAATTTGGGAGTTTTTTTTTAAAATTTAATCATTTTATTAGGGGCTCATACAACTCTTCTCACAATCCATACATACATCAATTGTGTAAAGTGCATTTGTACATTCATTGCCCTCATCATTCTCAAAACATTTCCTCTCCAGTTTTTTTGTTTTAACCACCTATTGCTTTCTTGACAGAATGAAGACTGATGATGGCACATACGAGGAATGTAGTTTAGTCAGGGAATTTGATTTACTACCATAGCTCTATCCCTTGTTTGGTCCCTAACTATGAGCGCGGAATAGCAATCAGGGATGACAAGAATTCCCATGATTTGTAAAAGGTAGTGTTGCTGCCTCAAACACCGGAAAGGTAATGCTGCACCCTATAGTTCTCATTAGTGTTAATGCTTTAGTGTAATCATCATCATTCAGTGGCCTGAATAAGTAGGCAATAGACTCTCTGGACAAAGATTGAATGATGCAGAAAACAGCAAAAGAAGATAGAAAAGATGCACAGTCACTGTACCAAAAAGAATTACAAAGTGGTTTATGTTCAGCAGTTTCAGGATGTAGAGAGCATATGATCAGGAACTACTGATAATGAAAGAAAATGCACAAACCTCGCAGAATGCACTGGCAGAAAACAGGGTTCCAGCAATTGAGATGCTTCCATAAACAGCTGCTGTGCTGGAAATACTGACTTTTATATGTCAAGACATTTGGACCACAGCTATCTGGCCAGTCAACTAGAAGAGACCCATATTTGTGTCTATTCCAAAGAAAGGTGATTAAACAGAATATGATTACTATCACATGCCAGCAAAGTTCACCTGAAGAAAAAAAAAATAACTCTAGTAATACGTTAACTGGAACTGCCAGAAATCCAAACCATATTCAGAAGGGAATATGGACTGAAGGCTGCCATTGCTGATGTCAGCTAGGTCTTGGTCAAAAGCAGAGAATACCAAAAAGATGTTGACTTGTGTTTTATTGAGTATGTAATGACACTCAACTGTGTGGATCCTAACAAACTATGCTTATTGTTGCAAGGAATAGGAATTCTGGAACAGTTAATTGTATTCATGTGGAACCTATGTGAATCAAGAAACAGTTTTGTTCCTCCCCCCCCATTTTCTCTCTTATTCTTTTTTTTTAATTAGTTGGGATTTAATACATATAATATATTCCATATTTCAATCACATCAAGTAGAATTGCATAAGTGCTACCACAATCAGTTTCCAACCATTCTTTTTCTACATGGACTCCTGGACATCATCTCCCTTTTACCATCACCACCCCACTGTACCCCGCTACTCCCAAACCCCTTATTTTATTTGCTGCCCCTGTAGGTTCATTAATCCTGGGTTTCATATACTGAAAACTGAAAAGCTTTTTTTGAATAGAACAAGGTATACCATTTGGTTTAAAATTGGAATAGATGTGTGGCAGGATTGTATCTTTCTTTCTTAAAAAAAATAATTTTATTGGGGGCTCATACAGCTCTTATCACAATCCATCCATCCATCCATTGTATCAAGCACATTTGTACATTTGTTGCCATCATCATTTTCAAA